GACGGTATCTGAATTCCAAAGAGAAAATCACATTTCTAGAAGGTTTATTTTCTGCCCTTTCATATGACACCTCAGTCGAAAAAAAATGAGCTAGGAATAACAAAGTTGTGTTTGTTTAAAGTAATGCTTGCATTTCTTTACTTTTATTAAACGAATTAGTGTTCACTGGCTACCTGCCGTAGCAAAAAAAAAGAATTTACAAAAGACTCACGATCTGTTCGGATTGTTAATAATTGGGGCAGGTCTTTTATGTGTTTTTCTTTATAAATGTATCTTCTTGCTGTTTTTGATGTGTTCACCTGCTCGTTTCGTCTATAAAAAAAAACAGTTTGGGCTCATTAGATTGTTAACAAGTTGTCTTCTATTTTATTTTCACCGTGATTCATTCTCAAATTCACTATTCTGATCTCAAAAAATATCTATCTTGTCATCCATGATGTCATTTTGGGACATCCATCTCTGACTAAAACTCGAAAGGTTTTGTGCTTTCTGTAACTTGATGTTGTCCGTTCAATTCTAAACCCCTTATGCATCATGGTCATGATGATGCAATATTGGTTGATTTTGAAGTAAGTTTCACACTTCAAGCTTCATCACTTTCAATTCGTTCCGCGGTCCCTTTCCTAAAGTTCTGTTTATTGTTTGAGACCGTCCTCGTGAAGGGAACTTTGTACTTCGATTATTTTTTTTTCAAGGATCGGACGTCATTCTTTTTATCATCATAAACTGCTTTTGCGAATTTTCATTTTTCTCTCCTTCTTGTGCATTTCATCTTGGTTTGTTAACTTATCATCATGTGAACAATTTGTACGTCTTGCTGTCTTTCCCCCGTTCTGATTATTATATTTCATCTCATCTCAACTTAACCATTGAGAGCGATGACAGAAACACTCCGTGGTGTTTATTAAGGGATGAGGTCTTTGTTTCGAAGAATTTCTTCTGAAATATTTCGTCAGCAAACAAAAGCACTTGGTTGAAAGATATATTTTGATAATCATAGCGTGCTGTGGCAAAACGTTATGATTTTCCTTTTAATGAAAGCCTACAGTTCCGCCAATCAGACAGATTCCCCCTACGATCTCTGCGCGAGCACAGCGTACGGTCAAAAATATGACGTCATGATGAAGGCGACACAGGGCAGTATCTACTTCAGTTGAGTCCGAGCAAACATTATTGAGGTGAAAAGGAACAAACTCTTACTAAACCGATGTTTTCCCTAGCTTTTCATTCATGCTTTCCATGTTTGCACTTCTTTAGGACTTAACTTAACCGCTTTCTAAGGAGTGGTGTTTGCCCCCGTAACTCTGTATAGGGGATCATGCTATAAGTTAGAGGAAAACACCGTTTTTTGTTTTATTTCACTCCGATCCTGCCGATAAGCCGCCTCTAAGAATGCCGAAAGTGAAGATTTGCGTGATATCATCTTCGTCTATTGACACTGCAACGGGAACAAGAAAATAACCTGTATACTTAAACAAGAAACTGTGTTTGTTCTGTTTCGATGAATTTCATTGTAGTAATTAATAATCTTAATCAGCTATGTATTTTTTTTCATCAGACTTGTAGTCCCATAATCCATGTCGTCTTCACATGGCACTCTATTCATCTACTTCATTATACTCATACTCCATTTTATATCGTTATATTGTATGTTATATACTAATACTATTCAATTTATAAATGTATTAATATTGGTTTTTACACGATGTTTATATAAATTATGTTATAAAAAGTCGATGTGTCACCAGAACTTTTGATATTGATAAACAATTTGATACTTGTCAAAGGAAGAGGATTAGACTATCTTTAATGTTATTTTGTGTATAAATTATTTGATTTTATTTAGTTTTGAAAGTGTATAACTGTTAAATGGGTCATTCTAACAAGCCGATTTCTTTTTACTAAAATAACTTGTCAACGATTTCACATGTGTTGTTTTACAGTGGAATATATGTTTCAATATTCTATGTTCGCTCAATATAATTTTTATTATGGATAATGTACATGTATTGAGCTTGTAGCGTGTTTACTAAAGTTCAGTGACATGTATACGTTATGATCCAATACAATTGCAATGCATTTATAATGAAGAAACAACAAAAACACAGCATCGTATATAATGTATTATATACGCCCAAACGTGTTTCCACATTTCATCGATATGGAAAAAGAAAAAAAGAAACAGCAATACTTATATTTTTTAAATCTCGAGATTCATCAACTTTGGCTTCATATCATTTGTAAAGAAAATAATTAAACAATAAATATTTAAGATACTCTTAGATACATTACACATAATATGAAGCATACTTATATTTACATTGGATAAAGATAAAATTCATAAAATTAATTAGAAGGTTAGCCCAATAGTACATCTCAACAACAACAAAAAAATGTTGTAAGAAAATATCATATTCGATAAACATTATAGGTATATAAATATATCTCTCTTTGTGTTTTGTTGTTGAAATAATACATTACCTATTCAAGGAATATGAAAAAATGTCGTATGTACTGTAGCCTCACATTGACTGACATTTTAGTACATCTAAACAAAACAGGCAGAAAACAAAACAAATGTTGTAAGAAAATATCATATTCGATAAACATTATACGTATATATATATATATATATATATATATCTCTCTTGATCGTTTTTTGTTGTTGAAATAATGCATTACCTCTGCATGAAATACGAAAAAATGTCGTATATACTGTAGCCTCGCATTGACTTACATTTTGAAACTGTAATAACGACTGTTTTTAGTGCTGTGATTAAGGCGCCAGAAAACCATGGCTATGTTCGAAAAAAAACATCTAAAGCTAGAAAGTTGAGATAAAAATAGAGTACAATTATGAAATAAAAACAAACATATATATCTTACTCAAATAAAATGATAAACGGTTCTTAGCAAGCACAGTATTTTTAGAGTGTACTAAAAAGTCACATATAAAACTAATACTAACCTAAATACAATAATAATCAAAAATAAAAATCCTTTTTTAAAACATGTATATTACCTACAAATACAACATTTGAGTATAATATGTATTTCTTTAATGGAAAGAATAACAAAGAAGCAAATTTGTTGAATATATGAATATAAATGTACATTTAGTTAGAATCAAACACATACACTTTTTAATATTTGTTTTAATAGTAATTTTGTTTTATTCCTCCAAATGTGTAATACAAACAAAAAGATACAGTTAAATAAAATAAATAAACGTTTTCAATATTGATATTAATTGCTTATAAATACACATTATTGAACATAAACTCATTTGCAGTATATAACCTGGCAACGAAGTATTAGTATATAAACATAATTTATAGGTCAATTATACGTTATTCACTAATATTTTAAAAAAATTAACAAATCTGGAGGTTATCATACTGGTGCAATACCTGCTCCACCCTGCCCCCTCCCTCACACACACGCACACTCATGAACACACGCGTAAAACACACACACACTGCACACACGCACACCATACACCCACTCACGTTGATGTGAGAAAACTAAAGATTTATATTCTGTAAAAGATTGGGGAAACTTTGTCTTTTTTCTGTTTTTGTCTTCTAAATAGTAACAATACTTTGATATAAAGAATAACCTATCCAATAACCATCCTAATCTCGTAATTCTTTCATTTCCCTTGTCTTCCTTTCCTCTCACTGTCATAGATTTATTTAAAGAATATAAATATTGTTTCATCTTTGACGTTGGATAAAGTAATATATTATTGTAAACAGGCATTTCATACGTGTATATAACAATGTCAGTCAAACTATTGTAATGAAAAAGCACGAGAAGTGCACTGATTAAAAAAATAAAATCGCGTATCTCTTTACATGTATAATAAACCACCAATGTGAATCATAATATGATTAGCCCCTCTTTAATTCCCGGGAGATAGCTGATTAATTAAAGAGCAAATTTAGTTGTCATTCTTTATCTACAGGGGGTGGGCCCAATGTGGTCTAAACGACGCGATTAAAAAGATAAAGAACTTGATACGATTGTGTTTGTAATTTGCTGTGATTCTTTCCTTAAAGAGGATTTACTCGCGAGGTGTGTTGGGTAATCTTTTTAGAGCTCTTTTGCATTCAAGATTCTGGTACAAGTATAATACACGATACGAATGTAATTCTTACAAGATTAGTTCCTTGACTGATTGACTTAAAAGATTGCCTTCCCATGCATTTTGATAATGGTTTACTCATAATTTTGCCTAAATATGTCCAATATAAGTCATTATTGATAGAGATCACAGATTTAAACAATATTTCCATTACTTGATTTTGTTTAAAAGCGGAGCTCGCTCAACTACTAATAACAAATACTGCCAGAATATTTATACTAATGATAATTTATAAAAATATTAATAATAATACCAACAAATATTAATAAATAACAACAACAAACATTTGTACTTATTTTATACCTCAAGCACAGCCGGCATACAACCAACGCTATATTTTTCATGCTTTCAATTTTCATGAAATAACCATGAACTTCGTTATCAGATATGAGGCTAAGATATCTGACGAATGATTTAGTCGATTTTCCTTTTACAGCAAAGGACTTGTAAATACATGAGTGCAACGGAGCACATTTAAAAAGCATCAATAAGCATTTTTCGAATTTAAACAAGAACTGAGGTAAGATCCGAGTTCTACCTCTCCACGCTATATTTTGATACTTTTAAAAATTGTATTAATTAAGAAACCTTGTGTTGAAAGCATGCATGTATCACTAAAAGTAAATGTTCTAATACAAAGAAGCTCCGATACGCCTTGACAAAATAAAACAAAGCTTAAATATATCAATATTATTTCCTAAACGTATACCTTCTTTGTCATTCAAACAATGACAATAATGATCAAAATATTAAGGGAGCACACTTATTCAGTATATTGAAACACAACCTTACATCAGATGAGATGGAGTAGAAAAGGAAGAAGAAGAAGAAGAAGAAGAGAGAGAGAGAGAGAGAGGGGGGATGGGGTGGAGTAAAAATTGCTCGTACTGAATCTTCAGCTTTTAAAAAAATAGAGAGAGAGAGACAAATGCTGCTGTTATCTTATCACGTGTCTGGTTGTAGTGGGCTGGTCATAGACTCGTCATAATACCGGGCGTCATATAGCAACCAGATTTTGGCCGTGTTACTCGCGCTCTCTCCGTCAATGAAAAATCACGCCGCTTTTTTATCTGCTCGAGGTACCGAGGGTTGGACGTTTAATATTCGCGGTGGAGGAAGGGAAAAAAATGCTTAATTAAAAACCGCTATGAGGAGAGGGGAGAATGAGAGTCAACGGACCCCGTTCTTTTAAAATTGTCTCATAATTTCTGACGTCTACCTAACTAGAGGGCTAGGGAGTATTAACCGCTCAGTGAGCTTTTGCACTTGACTGCCGTTTCAGACTTTATGCTCCAGTGCCTAGAATCAACATTATTTTTTAATCGTTATGCGAAAATTTTCCTTCACCTTACAAAATTAATTTAAACACAGAACAAGAGAAATTCGGTGGCTATACAGTGAACAGTATCACCTTTTGTTGGATGTATCCCCTTTACTAGCTAGTGGATCTTTCAGCTTAACCATGTTGTCGCCACAATTGAGTGAATTTGATATTCTACAGAATATGGGGATGGAAGCGAGTACACCCTTTTCACGTCCATCCCCGCGACGAGCAAATTCGGCAGGACCTCGGTCTAACAACACCTCCAAAATTGACCCCAGGTAAGGTATCTTTTAAAGTATCCTTCAAATCTGCAAATATCAATTCGTTGTCATTCTTTTAACTGCTTTGCCACGTCTCACAGCAACGCGTCCAGCCCCCGAAAATTTTCTTGAGTGTTTCCGGTATTTGGTTATTTTCTCTCTATTTATCCTCTCTCTCACAGTTCCAAGTTGGGAGAAAGAGAGGGATAAAAATAGGGCTAATACAGCTACTCAATTGCCCCCGCCATTGAATACTTAATGAAGCTCACGCGAGCTTGCTTCGTAGCTAACATAATTATGCATAGATCCATCGGCATGTAGAGTTCGTGTTCCTTAGCAATGCGACCCAGAGGTAGATTGGGTGCACCCCCAACAAAGCCACACGTTCCTAAAATCATTGACGTATTAAGAACAAGCCCAAACTTCACAACACTCAAACAGAGGGACAGACAGAGACGCCGCGACCGCCCAACCATCCACCTTGCTAACACGATCCCCCACTTTAGTTCCAAATCACAACTCTTCGCGCATTTACATGCACTAACGAAACTTCAAACTCCATCTCCCCCCTGTCTTCTCGCGAAATTTAATTGTTGGCGATCAACAAGTTCGTTTTACTCATCATCTCCTCAACCTGAGCACGTTCTTATACTTTTCTTTGTTTCTCTTCACCTTTTTCCTCCCAAACTTCCTTGCGGACATTATCAACGTGGTTCTGAACGCTTCACCCGTCCATCACCCGTCGTCACCCCGTACCCTCCCGGGGCGTGTCTCTCCGTGTCTCCGGTGGGCGCGTGTTACTTCTCTTCGTTCCTTTTTATCCGCCACTACCAATCGCTTTTTCTACATCTCATCAACATCATCATGGTACTTCATGCGGACAGCTTCAAGTCCAAACGGTACCGGGACAAACTCCGGGAACAGATTAAAGCTTTAGAGAACCTTCTACCAGTCGACAAGGCTACACTTCACAGGAAACTGGACAGTCAGACCGTCTTTAGACTTGCCATCTCTTTCTTCAGGATTAAGAGTTTCATAGCAGGTAAGTAACGTCACTTTACCAATAGCTATTCCTACAACTTTACTCATTGACATTTTAGTCCACCATTTTTTCCCGCTTTGAAATTTATTTTATGCCTATACTCAGTCGCTTGTAACTTGAGGCCCATCCATTGTGTCAAAAGGGTTAAAATATATTGGCAGTAAAATCATATCTTCGATACACAAAACAATATGGCTATAGAATCGCTGTCTTGTATATGCTTTTGCGAAGGGTTTGGGTTATGAGACAAAATGTCTTTTAAAAGTTAAGCATATTACGAGTGATGTCTCTATTATATTCGATCCGTCTGACATGATATTTGATTGTATTCACTTTCAATACATCAGTTCCTTTAATTGAAAGAAAAAAGAAGTTTCTGTACTCATTCATCGGTGATTGTAAGCTAAGATCCTATATTAACGTACAAGCTTTGCCAACAATTCATTTTTAGGAAATGAAAATAAAGATGCCCAAAGATGTTAATCGAGGCGAATTGTTTGTACGATATAAGAGATTCAATATTTATATTTAGTCATAGATTTATATCATGTAGATATTTATTTAAAAAAACTGAAATAACTTAGATAAAGAGAAAGAATAAAAGAACTACCCTTATCTTATATGTTTCGAAAAGTAAAAAGGAAAGTATTATTATATGTGTCACCAATTTAAAACCTGACAAAACATGACAAGTAAAAAAAAAAACGAGTACTGAATTTATTCAGTACATATTCAATATATTTGTATCATATTATCTTACCGCAATATACATCATCTTTATGTTGATTATACCACGTCAATAACTGATTAAAGTTATGCAATCTTCTTTCAAAATAAATATTCCTTAAACATCATTATTCTAAGCTCCTTGTTACGCTTACTTATTGCGATTTCTGATATCTGTTTTGATAATCATGTATTTTGTAAATGAACATAAAACTTTAACTGAGACAACGTCCTTTTTATTTCGTCATTTTATAAGGACAATAATATAAACAACAATAACAATAACAGTAATGATAATGATAGTGATAAAGATAATAACAACAATAATAATAATGATATTGATACTTACTACTACTAATAATAATAATGTACTACTATTACTAATAATAATAATTATAATTTGGGTTATGTAGCGCCTTTTCAGAGGATACACGTCGCTGTCCCTTAATCCGGCAAGGACAAATTAACAATTTTAGAGGTATATTGTCAGATGTTTATTAAAGAAGTCGAGTCCTTCCCTTGATTTTCATAGTAAAAACAAAATATTTGAAACATTAGCAAAGAACCCAAGTTAATTGTATTGAGTTAATCATATTGAGTTAATCGTATTGCATATTGAGTAAATTGTATTGAGTAAGTTGTATTGAGCACTGATTTAAGTTTATTATCATGATGCATGAGCGGATTACGGATATTTCCTATCTAACAATCGGACATAAAATAAATATCAATCGGCTCTCTTTTGATTAAAATACGTGTTTTTATTCTTTAGTGCAATTTAGTATTTACAAAAGGAAATGAAAAAGATGTAATTGTGAATGGTAAAGTAAAAACAACTGGCTGTATTCTGTGATTCTAACAGTAAAAACAAATAATTGAAATATAACTAAAGAACACAAGTTAATTCTATTGAGCCCTAATCCACATTGAGATTATAAAAGAAATATGATTTCGTGCGCTATTCACAATGTCATCCCTTTGAAAGAATACAGGCAAAAGCAATAAACATGGCGTTATAATGGCGTTATAATTTTACTCATTTTAGACAAAAATAAACATTGATAAAGACACTCACAGTGCGCAATGTGCTTAGACGAGACAAACAGTCTGATTACTTCACTATTTAACGTCATACAACCCTAAAAATACCCAAGCTGAAAAGTGTTTATAGATGTTTGAGTTTGTCGTCTAATATTTACAGAATGCCTAATAGTGATTGATCTTCTCATATTATGCACATGTGCGATGAGGAAATTAGGCTGTTGAAAGTCGAGTATTTTCGCCAAAACCTTCCAGATTTCTTTTCAGTGGATGCCAGTATGAATAATGGACTATTTGCAAGTACTTTGAAAACTGTTGAAATTGCTAGCCCCTTAATAACCCCAGAGAAGCTGAGTCCAACAATTTGAGGGGCAAAAAAACCCACACACTTTTATTCAAAAAAGAAGAAATCACAATTCGGGTATCTTTATGTTTCCTTAACAAACCTACTATCAGCATTTTATTTTTTGTTTTTTATAAATCGAGGGTCTCTTCAATCAGAGAGAATCATTCGATATTTACTACTGAATTCGTACATGTACTTAATCAGGAAAATATGATAAAAAAAGAATTCGCATTACCCTACAAAAGCATAAAGATATAGGCTAGATTTTACTAGTCACGTTCGAACTTCAGTAACCCTGCGGGTCGGATTTGTCATATTCTACCCTCCAAATAATATTTTCTCTAATGATTTTTCATTAACAGATAAATGGGGTGTATAAAAATGCGATTTACATCTCTGATTCTGGAAATGATGCTCTGTAACCGTTCACCAAAATAATAACGATACATTCCGGGCAAAACTGGAACATGATTCTGTATTGAAACATCTTCAGCCCTCCCTTGTGTTTCCTTTTGGCCAGCAATCAGTTCTGATTTCCGATAAACGAGAAAGTAAGAAGATAAACGACCCTTAATCCAGCTAAATGAAAACATTTTGTGTTATGATCGTGCTGGCATTGAGCGCGATTTTTCAACCCATTTTTTTGCCCGCGGGACATTTTCGGGGCGCGAGCCGCATGTAAACTATACGAGGGGAAGATATTGCAAGGGACTTGATTAAATATTCGTCATAATTTAGCAAACTGAAAACGGGTGCACGTGCATTCTTACATTTTCATCACCTCAAATACATCAACTCTAATATCCATAACAATCTCCCCAAACCATGTTGGAGGGATTTTTCTTTTAGTGGCATTTAAAATGAAGGAATGTACATGATACATAAATCACATTTTGATGATGTTTATCAACAAGATTATGTACAAATTTAACTCGACGTTCCATATCAAATTGGTGATATTATTGCATTTTTTGCCGCAGCAAGTGTATCTGTTGCATCTCTCAAAAGACAAGAGTTTAAAAAAAAAGACATTTGCTTGCCTCGGAGAGAGCGAAATATAGGTATATATATATATATAACTATAATTGTAGGTTTTAGTAATCATATTCTTTATCTTCATTACCTAAAATTATAAAATGATATTAATGTGAGAGATGGCTTACCGCGGCCCAGGATTTTTTTTCTCATCAAAATCAAATTTTGTGCGTGGGTTGTCGCCATCCGGTTCCCCGCTAAAGTCAAGGTTGGAAATCTCCCTCCCCTCACACTGGCGTGTATGAAGCGACAAAGATTTTCAATGCGGTAAATTGATTTTCGAGAGTTGGTGCATGAAAGAGAACACATTACGGCCCACGGCTGCTTCACTAACCCGTGAGTTTGCCGCTGTTTTTTGCTTAAGATACCGCTCCGCCGCACAGTCTTAAACTGGTCTCAGACATGTTAAAACAAAGGATAGGAAAGATCTGAAGAAAAAAAAGGAAGAAACATTCGATGCTCTTTGATGCGAATTCATTGAAATGAAGGACTACTAGATCCCATACAATTATTGGAATAATATGATAGACTATTTTGCTATAATCATTCCTTCTTATCCAATATTTGCCATATTGTCTTTGTTGTCCTAATGTTTATGATGGTATACACAATTTAGCTGAGAAGTTGTTCTTGATCTGCCTAATATAAGCAGGAATAATAATTTCGTGTTCCTGATTCTATTTTATTTACTTTTTAATGTTTTTTCTCTCGTTCTTTAAATACTTACTATTGTTGTTCATTTTACAAATTGGTATAGACTCTTACAATTCACGTCTTTGTTTTTCCTTTCCAATAGTTTCTGAAGCTTAGGAATGAAACTTTTTTAGCTTTTATTTTACAAACAGCAATTGGTTAGGCCCCTTAAAAAAGATCGTTTTCGAAATAAACCTTTATTTGACTATATGGTCCAAGCCGGCGTTTAATTTGAGATCAAAAGTAAATTTAAGGTAATTTGTTCCCTATGCATCGCAAGTTGATTTCTTGTTGAGGGGGGTTTCGAAGGGAGGGGTGTCATTTAAAGTTAATGAGCCAACGCAAATTGATTCTTAAATGCCTTAATGGACATCATGCATACATCTTGCTTCATTTTGCCATCTTAATAAGGATGGTCATTTCCATTGTCTCTTCTTGTGCTTTAGATAGTTTAGTCCATGTATTGCGTATACGTTTAATCGCCTCAATTACAAGTATGAATGCGATTTTAATTTGATCGTACCGTTGATCTTCTTTATATTTTACCGGACGGAACTAAATACCGGTCATGTCCTGCCCCTCTTTTAAATCGTGAGATGAGCCGCGGCGATCCCAATATTTGTGAGCGTGCTGCCAATCGGAATTGAGATTGCATGAGGAGACCAACAGGATGATTTCTTCTCTTTTTGGGAGAAAATAGAATCGTTTAGTGGTGAATGGTAAAGACAGTCGGAGGAAATTAATCAAGGAGCGATTAGGGAGGTAGAAAGAATGCTGGTAATTATTGCGCATTGCTCATGTCCAACTATAATTGATTCGAACCACGAACTATCTATCAATGGAGGGTGGGCTAAATGTCGTTTACCCAACAATTTGGGGCTTGTGTTTCAACTTGTGTTTCGAGTGGAAAGACGCCAAGAAAGAATGTGGAGTTATGACAGGGTATATAGGGAAAGCGACCGACTGGGATATAGTAAGAGAGAGAGAAAGAGGGATACAGACACAATTATACGCAGACAGAGACAACTGGAGAGATGTGGATTAAGAAAACGAAAAAGAAAAGACAGAAACACAGCTCAGAAGGGAAGAGAAAGAGAGAGAGAGAGAGAGATAGGGAGAGACGAGACAGATTGAGGGAGAGAGAGAGAGAGGAGGCGGAGAAAAATGGAATATGACCTAAAAAGAAAAGAAAAAGATAATTCATAGCGAGGGAGAGTGAGAGATAGATAGAGAGGCAGATAGATAGATAGATAGATAGAAAAAGAGAGAAAGAAAGAGAGAGATGAAAGTATAGGAAGAGACGGATCAAGTGGACAAAAACGAAGGACGGCAAGAGAATGGGAAAACAAAGCTGTATAGGAGTTCTGCTTGACTTGTGCAAGCATTGAAGCCTACTGAACGAACGAAGCTTCGCGCCGCGCAGCCGCGGAACTCGCGGAGGAGAATTCGAGAATGCCCCGTCTAGAGCACACCATCTCGCATTTATGAATTCGACGACAAAAAAATCCCACATAATGCCGTGATTAGCATCATAAACGACGATCTGAGAGAGAAAATAAGCGCTTCAATAGATTTGACAAGTTAAAAGTGACATGCTCCCCATTTCTCCCCTTCGGCGTTGTGTTTTTTCTATCCCCTTCCCTTTTCCAGTGTGTCTAAAATGAAACGTTTCTGGCTCATGTTAAAAGTATTTGGCTTTTTCTAGTTAACAAGAAGATCAAACTCCATTTTTGGCCTTATATTTCATCATATCATAATGTATCTTTTGATTTTGTAAATTCAATTTTTAATTTTGCAAATAGAAACCATTTTAATATGACCCATTTCCTTTGATAATATAATTAATTTTTCTAAACCGTAAAGT